AGCCGGGGGGAGGGGGGGGCAAAGGCGCTCACATTGCTTGACGCCTTTGAGATACTGCTAGGTTGGTGGGTGGCGCTGTGCCCAGCTGGAGCAGGGGGTTGACGGGCAGCTACTCTCATGAGTAGCCACCCGGCAATGCCTCTTTCCAGCCGGGCAGAGCGCCACTCACCGACCCAGTAATATCCCAAAGGAGCTAAGCCGTGCAGCGCTCTGCCCGGCTGGAAAGAGAGGTTGAGCGAGCACTTGTTCCGCCTCCAGCTCGCGTGCTTCCCTGCCTCACCATGCCCAACTCTCTCTGCAGGGCTGGGCCAGGGCACCGCCGCGGCCCCACTGCTGCCACCGCCGCCATGCTCTGAGCATAACCGTCTTCCAAACTCCGGAGATCCTCTGCCGAGTCTTCCGACAGTGGCCGTTCTGGGACTACGCTCTGCCGGAAGACTTGGCAGCAGATCTCCAGAGGTTGGAAGCTGGTTATGCTTGGAGAATGGCGGTGGCAGTGGGGTGGTGGTGGGGTGGCGGCAGCGGGGCGGTGGTGTCGCGGCAGCGGGGCGGTGGTGGCGGGGTGGCAGCAGCGGCAGTGCCCTTGCCCAGCCCTGCAGGGACAGTTGGGCATGGTGAGGCACACAAGCTGGAGGCAGAACAAGTGCTCACGCAACCTCTCTTTCCAACCGGGAAGAGCGCCATGCGGCTTAGCGCTTTTGGGATATTACTGGGTCAGTGAGTGGCGCTCTGCCTGGCTGGAAAGGGGGATTGCTGGGTGGCTGCTCATGAGCGTGGTCACCTAATGATGGATTTGTTGCGCTGCTGTGACAGTGCAACACAGCTGTTTGCCCCTGAGGCTGTTCCTGGCTCTTTGGGCGGCCACTCGCAAGAGAGCAGCCACCCGGCAACCCCAAACCAATAACCCCCCACCCGATGATAAGGCCCAAGCAAAATTTGGGGGTGGTCAAAAGAAAATAAGAACCTGTCTCATTTTCGGGGAAACACGGTAGATCTCTTGAAGTTTGCACTCCAGGGTTCCCAGTCAGCTCTGTGAGCCAATGTCTGAAATATATCCATACTTGAGTGATTTATCAGGCATTAATTACTACTTTTTCATTTAGATTGAAATTACAAATTGTCCATCTTTGAATTCCTAGACATTCTTTGACTCACTACTTCTCTTCTGTGTGTCTGCATATATATGCATGTGCAGATATAATTACAGCTGTGGATGTCCATAGTATGGTAGTCCTTGAGATGTGACTATAATGGGGCCTACCTATTATGGTCATATGTCATGATGACCGTTAAGTGAAGCATCTCACCTAATGACCCCCCCATCCTTGCTCTTCCCAATGAATCATTAAACAAATGTGCAGGTAGAGCATGAGGTGCATCAGGAGAAGGTCCTGGGAAGTCTAGCACAGACCTAGGCCCACCTGTCTCATCCCTCTCAAGGCCTCTCTCAACTCAGGAGACACCCTGTGCTCTGCTTCCCATTCCTGGGGTCCCCACAGGGCTTTTCCCACTCCCTACCAGGTCCCCATTGGCCTTAAGGCTGATTCACACCCACCAGACCCCACACACTCCTCCTCACTTAGTTTTTGAAGAGCTCTGGAGCCTTCCAGAGTCCTGGAATGGGTGGCTCTGTTGCGCAATAGCATAACGCAATTCTGGAACTGTGCCATATGAGTGAGGGACACACTGCTCCATTTTGCTACCTAATGCAATCTGGATAGAAAGCTAATGAGGTCTGTATAGGCATCTGGAAAACTCTGGGGTTTTGAAATGTGTAGCTTACTCCCCAGACCTGGATAAAATGTTGAAAAGCAACACATATCATATACCTCCTGTGTTGCTCTACAAATTTTGCTCTAAACAACCTCAGTAACATGCAAAGTTGAGGGGTGGGGATTACGGTGCTGCATTTTCAGACTTGCACCAATGTAGGATAGTATATTAGTACTATGCTTCATTGTACTAATGTGGCACAACCCTGATCTTTCAGTCAAAACACGCCAGTGACGTGCGGTGAGGCTTATGCCTGGTGAGGCTCAGCTGGGCATCCTTTTGCGAAGCCTCGGTGGTGGTGGGGGGGAAATTTGCGGCCTCGGCGGTGGGGGGGGAATTTGCATCGCGGGAGCCGCCAAGCGCACGGGTCTGCAGCAAAGGCGCTTGGCGGCTCCCACGATGCAAAGTGCCCCGCTGCCCACCCGCTGACCCGGCCTGCGGCTGCTGCTTCTCCAACCTCCGCTGGTTGAAGTCTCGGATCGCCTCTGGGGGAAAGCTGAGTGAGAAGCGGAGCGAAGCTTCTCCGTGGCCTCCTGGCGCTGCGCAGAACCTCTGCGCAGCGCCAGGAGGCCA